AGTGGCATTTTTGCAAATGAACACTCCTAAGTGACATTCTTGCAAATGTACACACCAAAAATTGTATTTTTGCAATTGCCGCAAATTTCTTTTTTGGTCAATCTTTATTATTAATTTCAAAAATAATATATATATTTTATTAAAAATGTTCTAGAATTTTATTATTACAATAATCAATTTCTAAACTATTTTTAAATGAGAAAAAAAAATTTATATATAATTTTAGAATGAAAAAACGAAAATGTGATAAATTCAATTATTTTTGTTAGATTAATTTTAGAGAAATTTTTTAAAATGCCACTTTTCAAGTGCCACTTTTCAAAAATGCCACATTTTCAAAAAAATTGTAAAAATACCACTTTTTCAAAAAAAAAATTATTATATCATTTATGTTTGGGTTAATTATGTTGTATTAGAGTTTAGTTTTTATGTCGTAAGAGGTTTTAAGGGTCAAAACATTTTTTAGGATATATAATTTTAAGATTTAGGCTTTAAAAATCCAAAATTATGGACATTTTTGCAAATGGACACTTCTAAGTGCTATAAGTGCAAATATACACAAAATGTGACATTTTTGCAATTGTCCCTTAATTTTAGCGGGTATAAATTTTAGTGGACTAATTGCAATAAATGAATAATTTGTTTTCTCATTTAAAAATGTGGTTAGGTTTCCTAAATTTTAATTAAAATAAAAAAAATTGGAAAAACACCTGGTTACATATTGGTAAACAAAAGTATGTAATGTTTTAGTATGGATTGGTTTTATACGATTTTAGTTGTAATAATCAACGATTGGTCAAACAAAAATTACCTGTATTTTCATGTGGGTCTTCTCTTCCTTGAGCTCTGATCATATTGCCTTGGGATCCAAAAGTCGTGTAATCATCAGGGACGTTTCTGTTATTGGTGATGATTGTACGGTCCATACCATCACCAATTAACGAGCATGATATTTTTTATGTTTCTATCTATTTCGATTTCGTTATAGACACCCGCTTTTACGTAGATTATCACTCTATGCGACCGGCTTTTACCCATTCTTGAAACGGTGGCTAATGCTTCTCTTATTGACCGATGAGTCGCCGAACCGTCCTTAGCCCACGAAATATGCCCTCGACTTTGTCGGACTCCATGACACTAACATTCCTCCGCCTGGTTTGGTCTCGCTGGTCCATGCATGGTTTTGGTCTCATCATGGGTCCGGGGTTTGGTCTTTTCAGTCCATGGTGTGGTCTTGCTGGCCCATGGTTCGGTCTCGCTGGTTCATGCATCCCTAGCTACATAATGTTAATAATTTTTTTTTTACATAGCAAATCGTGCGATTGTTTTTTCAAAAAAAAAAAACGTGAGATTTCGAAATAAAATTCAAACTGATATATGTTTATCATATAGTGAGAAAATAATGCGTCCAACGGAAACCGGTCACTCGCTAATTCGACAAACTTATTTATGCATTTTACTATATATTGTTTTTGTTCAGTAATATGCATTTTATCTAACTTGAACTCAAGTGGCGATTAAGCGACAACATGATTAGTAGCGAATTTCTATCATTTGATTTAAACACATACACATGAATTTGCATATGTTCTTACTCTTTTTCATATGACCTTTAGACTTTTTGTACAAAGCCAAAGCTTCGCCGAGCACAAACATGACATTACTATCAATCAGAGGCTTGTTGTGATCCCTTGACGTGGCTGAACCAAACCGTCTAAATAAGTGTGATGGTTCGTGAGCACGGCGCTTAGCCACGTTCTAACATCTTCGACGGTAAAATTCTCATGAGCCACGTCTAGGTCCGATAGTCTAGCCTCACTCTCATCGTAGAGCTTCTCTCAATCCCCCTCAACCATGCTCACTGACCCAAACCTAGTCATGGCTTCAACCATTGCAGCTCGAGCCGTCTCAAGCACATCGAATTCAACTGTGTTTGAGGCGGCCACGAAGATTGCAGTGGCTAGAAAGAAAACAACTAACGGTGAAGAAGTTGGTGGTTTTAACAAATACATTTTCGGTAGATTTTATAAGATTGTTGTTATGTTTTCAGCGATTTTCTTGAAGTGCGTTTAAATAAATGATTGTTGTTGTTGTATTCAATAGCAAACGAGGAATGGAACTTATATTGTAGAAAGTAGATGAAGATGGTGCATGGCGAGGAATCTAACACATGGAGAGAGATATAAGGCACGCGTGCGATTATGTGTAAGCTTTTGTTTGATCTATGTGAATGGCCCATGCATATCAGACTAATTTCCTTAATTACGTTGGTACATTTCAGATTGTGAATTATGCGACGCCGTATACAAGTAAATGTGCACGTGTATGTATGTCAATTGAAGTTGAGAGATTACTAAATTCAATCTAAATTCTTGTTGATGTAAAATAATTGAACCTTTCTCAAAGAAAAAATCATAATTAATTTCGTTGTTACAATCGATATAGGAAAATTTTATGATTTTTTCAGCTTTCTCGTGCTAACAAGAAGCATTAAGTCTCGTAATTGCTATACTCGTAGAGCTGGCCACTTTGCCGTTGGAAAACAATATTATTGACCAAAGAAAATAATAATGAAAGGAAAAAATGTTGACCAAAGAAAATAATAATGACACGAAATATGCCCTCGACTTTTTTCGTACTCCATGACACTAATTAACATTCCTCCGCCCTGGTTTGGTCTCGCTGGTCCATGCATGGTTTGGTCTCATCATGGGTCCGGGGTTTGGTCTTTTCAGTCCATGGTGTGGTCTTGTTGGCCCATGGTTCGGTCTCGTTGGTTATTGTCAGTGAAAATGATTGGTTATGTAAACGTGTTACGGTTATTCATATAATTGGTTCGAACCCCAAAACGATATATTCGAAAAATTAGCGTTTTCATTTCTAGCATTAAATTAAGTTGCTTCGGTTCGGGCCCACGAGTCGTCCTTGGTGGTCTCGGCGACCCGAATTTACCATCACTCAACCCGGATTCATTGGGTCAAATTTTAAATT